AGAGGATGAGGTGGTTTAGATCAGGGGTAGTCAACCTTTTTATACCTACCACCCACTTTTTTATGTTAGTAGTAAAATTTTCTAACCGCCCACCGGTTCCACAGTAATGGTGATTTATAAAGTAGGGAAGTAACTTTACTTTATAAAATTTATAAAGCAGTTACAGCAAATCCCTACCGCTCACCATGAAAGCTGGAACGCCCACTAGTGGGTGGTAGGAACCAGGTTGACTACCACTGGTTTAAATGGTGTCATTGACACAATGGGCATGAATTTGGGCAGACTCTGTGAGACCGTGGAGGACGGGGGACTAGCATCTGTGGTCCATGGGGCTGTGAAGAGTCAGACATAACTTAGTGACTGAACAACAAGGGAATACCATGAGTGAGGGAATGACTTGAAGGATGCCCCAAATAATGCTAGCTTTCACTCTAGGAAGGCCATAAAACTACAATTTTCATTCCAAGAATAATCTATATTTCCATGCCAGCAACTTACCATATTTTTCAGAGTATAAGACACACCTTTTTTCCTCAAAAGAGGCTGAAAATCTGGGTGCGTCATACACCGAATACAGCATTTTTTGCCTCCTGAAACCCCGCCCCTTCACCAAAATGGCCATGCATAGCCTTTAGGAGGCTTTCAGAATGCTCCTGGGGGCTGGGGAGGGCAGAAATGAGGAAGAAGTGGGCCAGTTTTTGCCCCCCCCAGCCCCCGGAAGCATCCTATAAGCTTCTTAATGCCCCCTTTTTTGACAAAAAACTGGCCTGTTTTCACCAAAATGGGCCATTTTTTGCTTGTTTTTGACCCCCACAGCCCCAGAAACACTACAAAAAGGGCTATTCATGCCCCTTTTCTTGAAAAAAATGGGCCTGTTTTCACGAAAAATGGGCCGTTTTGGGGAGGTTTGCAGAGTGCAAAACCTTTTTAAAAACTTGCCTCTTCAAAACCTTGAACTTATACTCTGAAAAATATGGTATATCTATTTGCATACCCACAATTCTGTAAACTTCCATTTCCTGATTAATCAATTCAGTAAAATTTTTCATATTTAAAGCTGATTTTGCAAGGCCATTTTCAGGCCCACATACATATCAATACCACCATCATAAAAATCTTAGCTTTTAAAAAATTAATGGAGATTTAGAGCCAGATCCCCTATTGGCTATGCTTTCAGTTGCTTAGCAATTATGAAAGGAACACATTATGCAGCAGCCTGCCTATACAATATACAATGCCAGACTTAGCTAAATATGACTACAGGAGTCAAGTTAATTTTTAGATTAGGTGCAAGAAGAGGAAAAAAGGAATGGCTGAAGAAATGAAGGTATCTGGCATTTTGGGAGAAATGACCTTGCTATTGTTGAATTTGTGAAATTCAGAAGAGGAGAAATTTCTTCTAACTTGTATAATTGGAAAAGTGGATTTGATACATTATGAGAGAAGACAGGTTGGGTCCAATAGTATCCAGTAAGGATGAAAAATCTTACAAAACGAGACATTGAAGTAATCCATGTTTTTGCTCCCAAGAGGTTGCAGGGAGGCCTACTAGACCCAAAATGGGATGCGGGGGTGGGGGGATGCCGCCCATGCATGCGCAGGGTGCACGGGGGGGGGAGTTGAACACATGTTGCATTATGGGTGCAGGTGTGTGCTGTTGCACACACGCTGTTGCACACACGTGCTGTTGCACACACGTGCTGTTGCACACACGTGCTGTTGTACATGCGAGCACTTTCGGCATGTGATGACAAAAAGGTTAGACATCACTGGCACAGGGTTAGACTAGAACAAGGCTGTCAAACACATGCATCTGTTTGGGGACAGGTGCATAGATGTTCCATTTATATTTCTGCAAATGTAATGTTCTGGCTGGTGGGTGCTCAAATAGCAAAGAACAGGAAGATGGATCTAACTCTGCTCACTCCAGGAGTTTGATTCTGAGCGGCTTAAGGTTGATCCAGTCTTCCAGCCTTCTGAGGTCAGTAAAATGACAATCCAGATTGTTGGGGGCAATATGCTGATTCTGTAAACCGCTATGAAGCGGTATAGAAGTCTAAATGCTATTGCCATCAGCCAATGAGCACTCAGGATACGCATCTCTTCAAAATATGCAGCTGGGATTTGGGAGGTGTGCACAATGCAGCCATCTGCAACCTATGCTTAGCCATCAACCCCTTTGCAGTGTAGGTATGCAGGGGCACCTAGGCACTGTTGCAGGCAGTTCTAAACCAAGCAAGTTTCAATAACTCATAGTTTGCAAGCAAAATTTTCACCCCCGTATTTCCTCCAGCAACCTACTATGCTGTTTAGTTGACAAAATGTAACAAAGCGTAACTCAGGTTAACAAAATATAATAGTCTAACAAATTATGGCCTAATAGAATGGTATTCATATAACAATTACAGTCACCCACTACCATCCGTTTTTGCCAGGACTAGTGTGTTGCATAACCCAGCCTTCACATATTATGCAGGAACAAGGGCATGGTTTTGTTGACAGAGCCACATTATTTTTAGGCAGTTTTCCACAAGCCAGGAACCATAAAGGGGATTAGAAGTAATGTGAAGAACAACCAGCCTTGGAATCCAGGGCTGTTTCATTTTTGTGCGTCTGGGTTTTCCCCAGATAAAAGAGACATTTTGCTTACCATCCTTTACTTATTTTGTAAACTGAACAAATACAAAATCTCCAGGAATTCCAACCTATTAGGTGCAAAATAAATTTTTATTTCTGACTAGATTACTGTAATCCAAAATCATCAACCATACGGAGCCGGGATCCCAAAGAGCACACCCTACTTCAACAGGCAGTCTGGATTTTAAAGCTTCAAAGTTTATCCTTGGGGAGGGGGAAGCAGTTCAGGGTTGAGACAAACTATGACGAGAAAAGCCCCTGAAAATAGGGTCCTTGGGGGTAGGCAGGGGTCTATATTCCGGCAAAGGAACGTCCTCATCCGATTCCTCTGTGAACCGCCGAGCGGGGGAAGCAGCCACGGCCTTCCCAAGCGAGCGACGGGTCTTACCGGACACATTTCTCCGGAAGCGAGCAGATTTCCAGCTCTAGCTTCACCGCGTGCCCGCCGGAACGGTCACTTGGCCGCTGGCTTCGGCCAAAGGAACTCGGTCCTGCCCTTGCCTCGGCCGCCGAAGGTGCGGACACGGTGGATGAGCTGCAGCTGCTGCTCGATGGTGGCCCGGATGTCCACCTCGTCGGGAATGTGGACGTAGCGGACGTTCCTGCCGGTGATGAAGAGGTCCTGCAGCCGGCAGGCGCGGCCGTGGCGGTCGGTGAAGGTGGCCTCGCCCAGGCGGACGTTCATGAAGGCGTCCACGTTGACAATGCGGCCCACGGCCACGCTCTCGTCACGCAGCTCCACGGTGGTGACGCGGCTGTGCAAGCCCTGCAAGAGCAGCACCAGGCTGTTCTCCGCGATTGTGCGCTCCTTCACCGAGTGGCTGATCTCCATGGCGGCCCGGAGCGCGGCTCACCCGGAAGACCCCGGGGCCGCATCCAACGCTCCTCCGGCGGACGGCCGCGCCTACCTGCCCCGCTCGCCTCGGAAGGCAGACCCGCGACGGCCCGGCCGGCTTCGCCTCAGCGACGATAGAGAGTTTGGTCGCCCGCGCAGCGAAGCCCCGCCTCCAAAGCTGCCAATGCCATTGGCCGGCCAGAGCCCGCCCGCCCGTGTTGGAGCGATGCCATTAGCTCGCTGCGTGGAGCGAGCACCAATGGCTTCACCGGATGTTCCGCCCCGGAAGCGGAGTTTGCCGCCTCCGGCTCCCCCCCCTTCATCCTCCTCGCGGCAGCCTAGCTCAGCCGCTGGCGGCCGTTTCACCGCGAATGCGCCGACTGAACTATTCATTCCGGGTCACGTGCAGGATGGATGAGGCAGGGCCGATCAGTGATTTCTGAAGTGGCTTCAGACGCAGCGAAATGCAGTTCGGGAGCAAGGAAAGGAAGGGACAGAGAACCAGATGCTCAGGCACGGATTAGGTGGCGCCTGGCTCAACTGCGAGAAGGATTTTGTCCTGATGCAGCCTTTCCCGGTTGGCGGCACTGTGTGTATGTGGAGGTTGTGCGAGGGAGGGGCGCGGGCACCCATCGCTCGCGCCGCCCGGTTCGGAATGGGCTGGGATTGGGGACCCCCGTCCTAATGGACAGCCACTTAAATGCGAGGCAGGGGTGGTTTCACCTGCCAAAAAGACCAGCACGGTCCTAGGCTGCATGATGAGAGGAGGGATAGCTTCAAGATCATGAGAAATGTTAGCACAGGTACTCCTCGATTTATGACCACAAGTTGCTAAGATTGTTGTGTTTTGCCCCATTTTGCCATCTTTCTTGCCAGTTGTTAAGTGAATCATTGCAGTTGTTAAGTTTAGTAACATGATTGTTAAGTTAATCTGGCTTCCCCATTGACTTTGCTTGTCAGAAGATCACAAAAGGGGATCAAATTACCCTGGGATACTGCAGCTGTCATAAATACAAGTCAGCTGCTAAGCATCTGAATTTTGATCAAGGAGATGGTGCAATGGTCATAAGTGTGAAAACAGGTCACTTTTTTCGGTGCTGTTATAACTTTGAAGTCATTAAATGTACTGTTGTGAGTTGAGGACTACCTGTACTGCTTTTTATACCACACTGGTAAGATCACACTTAGAATACAGGTAGTCCTCAAGTTGTGAATGTAATGGAACCTGCCCATTCCATTTGTAACCTGAGGATACCTGGGATGAATCTTATATCTTGAACGGAATCACTCCCTCCTTTAGCCCACACATTTGCTAATTGAACGTGAGGCTCATTAAGTGCACAAGGTATTTTAGGGTGAGGAAGGCCATGGGGACCTGCAGATGTCCTCCCCCACACCAGCCTGCCATGCAGGGCATGTCAGGGCATCACATATCGAGGCGAGGCCAGCCATCACGTGTTGAGGCAAGGCTGGGTGTGTCAGGGTGAGCAGCCAGGAGTGTTGAGGCAAGGCTGGGCAAGGAGAGCAGGTGGGCGAGGTGAAAAAAAGGAATGGCGGGAGGGGAGGGGCAAAGCGGGGCCGGGCATATGAGGCCAGGCCTGGCAAGGCAGGCAAATGTGCTATGCATGCCCAGAGGGAGTACCCAGCTGGGCCAGGACGAGGTACCAAGGGCCAGCCTAAGGACCTTGAGTTTGACTGCGACACCCCTCTGTATTGGATTGAAATGGATACTATTCAGCCGGTTTACTGAATCCGTGCAAACTGATTGAACCCCACCACTGGGAGAGAACAGAGGGGAGGAACAGAAATGGAAAGTTAACTCGGAAACCTTTGGGTGCAAACTTTCAGATCTGGCTTTGTTGTACTGTAACTACTTGGCTTTTAGTAAAAGTATTCCTTTCACACAAATGGAGTCAATGGTTTTTCTTTCCTAAGAACCCAAGTTGGGGCAGGTGTGACACTGTCACAGAAGAAAGGAAGTCACCTATTCTCCAAAACACTGGAGGGCAGGAGAAGCAGCAATGGATAGAAGCTCATCAAAGGGAAATTCAACTTGGAAATGAGAAATTTCTTGAAGTTAAAACTATTTACCAATGGAATGGCTTCCCTCCTGAAGTTGTGAGTGCTCCATCACTGCAGGTTTTCAATAAGAGATTAGACAACCATTTGTCTGAAATGATATAGGGTCTCCTGCCTTGAGCAATGGGTTGGACTAGAAGACCTCCAACATCCCTTCCAACTCTTATTCTGTTATTTCTGCTCTGGCCCTTCTGTTGGCACCCAGAGCATTTATCCATTCATGCTGACTGAGCCGCAAGCAGTCTCCCTTGCACCCATATAAATGTAAACATGGAGGAAGGCTCTGCCTATCTTCTGGCCTACTTATGCAACAACCTTCCCCCCTCCCCCCAACTGTATTATGTATAGGGTGACATAGATGGAACTGGTTTTCAGAGGAGCAGTGCATATTGGTGTGCACAGCGGACAGCTTTGGGTGATGATTGCAGAAGCTGGCTTTTAGTCTTTTCTGTGACTCAGCAGCATTGCAAAACAAGCAGAATCCATGGCCAGATAGATGGAGCTGATGCACAGCTGATCGGCTGGATCACCTTGGATCAAAGTAGGCAGCCCTACCTTACCCGTCGTCCTGGGCTGTCTTAGGCCAGCATTAGGCCAGTAAGAGCCGCAGTGGTTAGAGTGCGATACTGCAGGCTAATTCTGCTGAACATTGGCTGCCAGCAGTTTGGCAGACTGAATCTCACCAGGCGCAGGACTCAGATTGTTGGGGGCAATATGTTGACTCTAAAGCGCTTAAGAGAAGCACTGTGAAATGGTATATAAGTCTAAGTGCTATTGCTATTACATGAAAACACCACTTACACCCTGGGACACTTAAAGCCATTTTTGAGTCCCTTTAGTAGTGAACTAATGATGTCCTTGGCAGAATAACTTTGTACCCTGGCACGGTGGCCATTTTATGTGTTTTCTTCCCATCTTCTGAATTAGCATGAACGCTTATGTAAATTGTACTGAGCTTTACTACACCTCACAAAGAGGGTAGGCAGCCAGGTTTTAAATGTGGGTCAATTTCAGGGCAACGAGTGGTGGATTCTCTGCCCTTTTTTTCCCTTCTACCCTCAGTTATCCACTGGCAAGAAAAGCAGCCACCAGTCACTCCTAAATTTGGAGTGGAGTTTGGGGGGAGGCTCAGATTTTGTTTTTTGTTGTGGGATCACAGATTATTTTTGGTACTGATGATCGTGTGAAACACAACCATAACTTCATTTGCCTGAAATGCCCTGGGTGTAACAGCTGAAAAAAATAAGGCTGTCCTAGAGTTTATTATGGGGCTCCAATATAATTTTAGTTTTGGTTTATTATATTATGTGAACTCTAACCAACTATATGATACCAAGATGAAATATACATCTAGGAGAGTCAAGTGTCCTAACAAAAAATGGATAACTTAAGAATCCATTCTGTTCTATCTGACTGACATCTTCTAACATCACGTTGGGTGTCCTAACATTCCTTTGCATTAAAGCTGTATGGCTCTTCAAAGCTGAGGGTTAGAGTTTATCCATCATCGCCAACAAGTCACATTCTTTGCTGTTTGTCTCATTGTGCTGTTCCGATATCTCAAATTCCCCCATGATACGATCTAGCTCCTCGTTCCGTTGCTGGTCCTGTTTCAATAAATGTTGCAAGTAAGTATTCATGTAAGAACAGAAGTGTAGACAAAATATAATATTACCCTAAGACAGTATGAATGAAAGTGTATGAATTCAAAACATCTCATTTGAACAAAACAGCTCTTTAAAAAATCAATCCACTCTATTAAGAACCACAGTGGTGCAGTGGTTAGAGTACAGTACTGCAGACTACTTCTGCTGACTGCCGGCTGCCTGCAATTTGGCAGATCGAATCTCACAAGGGGTTGACTCAGCTTTTCGTCCTTCCGAGGACCGTAAAATGAGGACCCAGATTGTTGGGGGCAATGTGCTGACTCTTATAAACAGCTTAGCAAAGGCTGTAAAGCACTGAAGCAGTATATGTCTAAATGCTATTGCTAATGCTATTAAGCTGATACTTATATTCAGTCTTATTAATTTTCAGCCTTAATTTCCTTTAATTTCAAGCTGTTAATATTTATCTCTATTTTCAGCTGAGGATTTTCCTCTATTCACAATACCCTTCTATTTACAGTATTGGTGAAGAATAATGTAAGATTAGTGTATTTTGATAGTTTCAAGATGTTCTCTATAAAATATGGCCTAGAAGATTAATTAGATGCATTCACACTTGGCTGAATGATCATATCCAGAGAGCTCACTATTTTTGGCTAAAAACAACAGTTATATGATAATCTGTGAAATAAGCTGTAGAAAATCCTGCACTGAGCACTTAAGCTAACCTTTAAGAATTTTTCCAACTTTATACTATAACCGTGATGGTGAACCTATGGCACATGGAGCCATATTTGTCCGTATGGCAGCCCTCAGTTCTGGTGTGAATCAGCCAGCTGATTTTTGGCTGTTTTCACCCTCCCCAGGCTTCAGGAAAGCCTCCAGAACCTGGGGAGGGTGAAAATCCCCCCTCCCCCATGCAGGAGGGTCATGTGCATGTGGTGGTGGTGGGGGTCACCTGCATACACAGTTGCATGGGTACGTGTGCACACGGGCACAATTTTTAGAAAAAGGTTTACCATCACTGTACTATAACATTTCGTCTTTTCTTTTGTCAGCTAAATACAGTTTCTTTAGCCATTCCTCACAACATTTGTTTCCAGATCCCTTTAATCCTGGAAGCTTTTTCTAAATTCATGCTTGTTTCCTAAAGCCCAGAACAGAATCCAAGTCTCCCAAGTAAGATCTAAACTGTCAATGTTAGGGGATTATTATGACCTGGCTGCAACATTTGCGAATTCAGTTCAAGACCTTTTTAGCTGTTGCATCACTCTGTTTGTTAATGTTGAATTAGCCAGAAACAGTTTGTCACATATCCATACATTCTGTGTAGGAGATTATCTGAATTATTATCACCTATCTTGATATAATTTACAAATCTGGTAAGCTTCCATTCCATCCCCTAGGCCACAAAAGAGCCATTTGGACCCGTTTCCCACAGAAAAAGAGAGAGAGAAATGAAAGAGAAAATGAGAAAAGGAAAAGAGAGGGAAACAAATCAGAGAGAGAAGGGGGAGAGAAAGGAAGAGAAAGGAAGGGAAAGAAAGGAAGGAAGGGAAAGAAAGAAAGAAAGAAAGAAAGAAAGAAAGAAAGAAAGAAAGAAAGAAACTTTCTCAGACCTATGACAAAAACAATGGCAAGCTAGATCTCTTGCCAAAAAAACTGCAGTTTGCCAGAAGGCACAAATTGAATCCAAGTCTGATTTTTTAAAGAAAGTAACAGAGATGGCAAAAAATGCATCTGAAAATAATATTATTTATCATTTTGGATAATGTATTATATTGTCAAACTCAACAGAAATCAAAATATATATGCTATAGCTGTTAGTACAAACTTGCCAGCTTCTATCAACTTAAAGTTCACTATGAAAAGGTTACAGAGAAGCAATTTCCCGCCATTAATAACTTTATTTTGGATTTGCTATTGCAGTGGTCCCCAACCTTTTTATCGCC